GTAGATGCTGCAGCCCAGTCTTCAGGTGGGACAGACCATTACTGCTTAAAATGAGCAATCGGCTCACCAGGATGTCTGGTATAACCTTTCATGGTACACTGGCTGATCATGCCAGCAGGGGTGCTAGGTTGCCTTCATAACCTATGTTAAATGGAAAAAACTCAATTAAAAAGTAATACAAGCAATACATTCACATACATACTTTATTTTTAAGTCACCCTTTTCCTTCACACAACCACACAACCACGGGCTAGGCTACACAAATTCACAAGTTAAAGGTACTTCCCTTACATGAAATAATGGCTCACAAGTCATGTTCGATTATGCACCATGAGTCTTTTTGTAAACTGATGAACATATTGGGGAATGGAGCCTCCACATGAGATTTATTTCCAGCTGTCAACAGTTAAATTCACACGGGGAATTTCAGTCACCCAGAGAATCCCTGGGATTCACAAAGTCAGAGTAAGGCACCCAAGGCTTGCTCTTCAGTCAAGGAAGGAACAGAGAAGCAGGCATTTGCACCAATCCCAAAATGTATTGATAGCCTGAGGTTGGACTACACAGGATTACAGCCACGGCCCACCAAAGACTCTGTGTGGTATTTAAGAGCCTATTTCCTACTGATTTTGTTGAAAATCCTGCTATCAGTGGAGACTTCAGTGGAGAGTGGCTTAGATCCCTCTGAAGTGTGGGGCAGTACCTTTTCAGTAACAACAATGCACGCAAACTGAGTTTAATTTCCAAAATATTTGTTTTGCTTCAGTGTTTCTATAACAAATTCCCAGAGTAACCCTGTTATCTATCATTATGTATTACAGCAGATGCCCCACTGGGCTAAGCACTGTACAAACATCTATCACAGCAAGTCTCTGCCCAAAGAAATACAAATCAGAGACAACAATCTAAACCAAGGGTGGTGAACTTCCAGCCTGCAAGCCAGATCTATCCACCTGTTTAATTTGATCTGGCCCATGGCAAGTCTCTGCACCGTGGGTGGGAAGGCCTAAGCCTTGGAGTTGGAACCGTGAGCTCTTCCATTGCAAAGGGAAGGTTGGATGCCAGGCTGCTCGGCTGTCCACGAGGACCTTGGGCATAGGGAAGGATGGTCAGGGAAGCTCTGAGGCTGTGTGCCTGTCCCTGCAGCTCCCATTGGCTGGGAACCAGCATCCCTCTATTTTTTTCCATCCCTGAGCAGAATTAATTTTCTTATATGCATCAACATGGAGGTACGTGTGACACATCGCCTTCTGGTGGTGCACTCAACAAAAATTCACGCAGTGGGAGTGGGACCAAGGGGCTTTGACTGTGGGAGAGGGCTGAGGCTTAAGGCACAGGGTTGGAATGCAGGAGTATGAGGGTCCTGGCTAGGGGTGTAGGCTCTGGGGCAGAGCTGGGGATGAGAGTTTGTGCTGCATGAGGGTGCTCAGGGCTGGGGTTGACTCAAGGCAAAGCAGTGGTGTGGTGCTCAGGCTTACTTGGGCAGCTCCATGCTGGGGCTGGTGGGGAGGGGCTCTTCCCTGCTGGCCCTGGCATCTTTAGGGCTTGGAGAGAGATCCCTCCTTGCTGCACTCTGGGTCTCTGCACGGGGCTTCATGAGAAGCTGCACAAGCTATGCAGCTGACAGTGAATTATGCAGGGAAGCACAGGAGCTGAGGGGACTGTGCAGTGCTGACCTGGGATGTATCACACAGAAAAGGACCTGGGGATTACAGTGGATGAGAAGCTGGATATGAGTCAGCAATGTGCCCTGATAGCCAAGAAGGCTAATGGCATATCAGGGTGCATTAGGAGGAGCATTGCCAGCAGATTTTGGGAAGTGATTATTCCCCTTTACTCAGCACTGGTGAGGTCACATCTGGAGTACTGTGTCCAATTCTGGCCCCCTCCCACCCATTACAGAAAGGATGTGTTTGCACTGGAGAAAGTCCAGCGCAGGGTGACCAAAATGATTAGGGGGCTAGAGCACACAACCTACGAGGACAGACTATGGGATTTGGGCTTATTTAATCTATAGAAGAGAAGAGTGAGGGGGGATTTGAGAGCAGCCTTCAACTATCTGAAGGGAGGTTCCAAAGAGGATGGAGAGAGGCTGTTCTCAGTAGTGACAGATGGCAGAACAAGGAGCAATGGTCTCAAGTTGTGGGGGGAGAGGTCCAGGTTGGATATTAGGAAAAACTATTTCCCTAGGAGGGTGGTGAAGCACTGGGATGGGTTCCCTAAGGAGTTGGTGAAATCTCCATCCCTAAAGGTTTCTAAGTCCCGGCTTGACAAAGCCCTGGATGGGATGATTTAACTGGGGTTGGTCTTACTTTGGGCAAGGGGCTGGCCTCAATGATCTCCTGAGGTCTCTTCCTCCCCTATGATTCTATGACCATGGGATGCTGTTCCAAGCACAAGGATTGCTAGGAAGAGATGGGATCCACCTAGTGAAGAGAGGAAAAAGCATCTTCACAGGCAGACGTGCAAACCTAGTGAGGATGGCTTTAAATTATGTTCATCGGGGAACTGTGACCTAAGCCCTGAGGTAAGTGAGGAAGTGGGTTCCTGGGAAGAAACACAAGGAAGAAGGTGCAACAGAGGAGGACCCCTGATTTGTACTGAGACAGTAAGGCAATCACCTAATTAAGTGAGGTGTCTGTACATGAATGCAAGAAGCCTGGGAAACAAGCACAACAAATAGGAAATCTTGGCACAATCAAAGAACTATGATGTGATTGAAATAATGGATATTTGGTGGGATGACTCACGTGATTGGAGCACTGTAAGGGAAGGATATAAACTGTTCAGGAAGGACAGGTGGGAGGGAAAAGATGGAGGAGTTGCACTGTATGTACGGCTACGTCTACACTGAACAGTTATTTGGAATAAGCTATTCCTGAACAGTTCTTCCGAATAGCTTATTTTGAAATAGCACGTCTACACAGCAGGGAAGCCCCAAAATTAGCGTGAGGTATTGGCCATTGTCAGAAGACAGAATATTGGCTAAATGGATCTTTGTTCTGACCCAGTATGGCTGTTTTTACATTCTTATGCTGTATCCGTGCAAATGTGAAATACAGGCTGCATAGGGCACCCAAAAATTTGCCAACATTTTCAGGTGCCACATGGAGCTGTTTGTGCTTCTGCCTGCCCTCTTCTCCCCCCTCCCTCATGTGCTCCTTTTGGCCAGCAGTCAGCCACTAACTGAGGGCTCTGTCCTGACAGACTGGGAGTAGAGAGGAGCCCTCAGCCTCTGCAGATCTGTGGGCCTGAAGGATCTGATCTGAGGAAGTGGGTCTGGCCCACGAAAGCTCATCATCTAATAAACCATCTTGTTAGTCTTTAAAGTGCTACATAGTCCTGTATTTTGCTTCCGCTACACCAGACTAATACGGCTACATTTCTATCACTATTCATATGTAGCTGACCTTTGAATGAGTAAAGTGGGTCTTTTGGACACAGTTGCCCTTTGTTATCACAAAACAAAGTGCTCAGTATATTGCTATCTCTAGCAGATGGGTGAGGCGATAAAAAAGCTATCTAGTCTGTGGAGTGAGGAGTTACACTGCCATGCAGTTCAGCAAACCACGGTTACTCATAAACAAAGCCAGGATGATCACCCAGCCTGACACATCACCAGAGGCAGAAAGCAAAGAGCATGTGCAAAGAAACGGTGGCTCTCCTGGAGGCCAAGGCACAGTGTGATGTAGGGCTATGTCAGGTTCAGTAACATGACAGAGCCAGAGCCCCAATCTCCAGAGAGCAAACAGCCTTGCTATCTCCAGATATAACTTCAGTTAACAAGTTGTAGAATCCCACCCTATAGCTATGTTGACCATACGTCCCGATTTTTCCGGGACTATCCCAAATTTAAATACTCTGGGCCAATGCCCCATCAAGTAGTGAAATGTCCCAGAAAGCCTTGCTGGGGCTTCCCGTATGGGAAGAAGCAAGAAATGGTACGGTGCCACTGCTCCTCACATAGTTCAACAGCCTCCTCCCTCTCCTCCCCGGCAGGGCAAGTAAGGTAGCCGGGCTGGCTTCTGGTGGCATGCAGCCCCTCCCTTCCTCCTTCCCACAGGACCACCTCTGCCACATGGGGTCCTGCTCTGGCGACACTGCCTCCTCCTCCGGGCCACCTTGGAGCCCCAGCAGGAGCCATGCGGAGCCCAGCTGGGCCACTGCAGGGTTGGGCTCAGTAGGTGCTGGGACTACAGCAGAGGCCGCCCATGGTGCTATTTTGAGTACTGTGGTCTGGGTCCCCATGGGCAGCTCAGCTCCAGGCAGAATAGAGTGGCAGGCGCACAAGGCACGTTCCAGCCAGGGCAGCTTCACTGGCTGCCGCTTGACTCCAGCTGGAGCCGGGCAACCCACAGGAACTGGGACTGCAGTCCTAAAAACAGCACTTTGGGCGACCTCTGCTGCAGTCTTGGCATGCGGTCCTGCCCTGGGAGCAGCTGGGGTTGGGACCACAGTAATAAAAATAACATTGCAGCCCGGTTGCAGCAAACTTCTTTCCACATGAAAGGCAGAAGGTGAGGGAAGGGCAGGGGGAGAACTAAGGCGAAGGTGGGTGAGGAGAGGAAGGGGCTTGTGCTGAGGGGAGGGGGACAGGGCAAGAGAAGAAAAGGGCAAGCACAAAGGGGCAGGGTGGAGGAGAGATAAATGCCAGGGAGCCCAGAAGAGACAATTAGGAAAAGGGCAGGAAGGGATAGGGGAGGGAAGGTGTCAATCAGGATGTGAGAAGGAAGGGGACAGGGTGATGCTGGAAGAGAGGAGGGACAGTGAGGGCAAGAGAGAGGGAGAGGAGAGGAAAGGAGGGGGTGCTCAGCTACACACCATACTCAAATACCAAAAAACACACACACACTGCCCCCTCTGCTTAACTCCACACCAACTCTATGCCACTTCACCCTCAAACAAACCCAACAATTCTTCCATACTATACGCTGTCCCCAAACTCACATGGATCCCTCTCCCCCTTCAGG